GACTCCTTAAACAAAGATCATTCACCATCAAAGAATAGGATGCCAGAAATCCATTCTTTCCATTCCATGAATTATATTTTTAAGGCCGCCGCGATGTCGGGTGCGACACAAGAAATTCTAAATAATCAACTACGTGTTAAAGCTTCAATAGATATTGTTCGTTGGCTTACATTTCAAGCATGTGCTTTTAGAGGACATGATGAACGTCCAGAATCAAAGAATTGAAGTAATTTTCTTGAAATGTTGGAACTTTTAGCATCATATAATGAACAAGTAGGTTCTTTTATTTTGGATAATGCTCTACAAAATACTAAATACACCTCGCATCAAATTCAAAAGGAAATTTTGCATGTCTGTGCTAGAAATGTTCAGTCTTCAATTGGTCATGAGATTGGTGATGCAAAATTTTGCTTAATTGTTGATGAAGTTCAAGATGAATCTCGAAGAGAGCAAATGACCCTTGTTATTAGGTTTGTTGATAGAAGTGAATTTATACGAGAACAATTTTTGGATATAATTCATGTCAAAGACACAACTGCTTCAACTCTTAAGAAATAGATTTTCTTTGTTTTATCTCATCACAATCTTGATGTTCAAAATATTATGGGCCAAGGGTATGATGATGTTAATAATATGCGTGGAGAGTGGAATGGATTTTAAGCTTTATTCATTAATGATTGCCCTTACGCATATTATGTACATTGCTTAGCTCATCAATTGCAATTGGCTCTTATTGCTACAGCTAGAGAAATTTTTTATGTTCACACTTTTTTTGAGAACTTGATTTTTATTATTAACATTATTAGTGCTTCTTGCAAGCGTAATGATGAATTACGGGCTTTTCAAGCAGATATGATTGAACATTTAATTGATATTGGTGAGATTGAAATGGGTAAAAGAGTTAACCAAGTAGGTGGCTTGCAACAACCTGGAGATAGCAAATGGAGTTCGCACTTCAAATCCATTTACAGTTTGATAAAAATGTATGGGGCAACTTGCTTGGTTTTTGAAAACATCTCTTTAGATGGATTTACTTATTCTCAACATGGTGATGCAGCCTTTTCATTTAAGTTGCTAATGTCATTTTATTTTGCATTCATCTTGCATATAATGAAAAATGTTATGGGAATTAGTGATGTGTTTTGCCAAGTTTTGCAACAGAAATCTCAAAACATTTTAAATGCTATGTATTTGGTGATTACCACAAAGACTTTAATTCAGAAGTTAAGAGATGATGGCTAGGAAACTCTTTTAGAAGGAGTGACATCATTTTGTAAGCATCAAGACATTGAAGTTGCTGATATAGATGCTTGTTTTTCTAGTGTGGGACGATTTCGTCGTAAAACAAAATCAATAACAGTTGAGCATCACTATCGAGTTGATATATTTACAGCTATCATTAATCAACAGTTGCAAGAGCTAAATAATAGATTCATTGAGCAGACGATTGAGCTTCTTAAGTTAAGCGCAACTTTAAATCCTAAAAATAACTATAAATTATTCAGTGTTGAAGATATATGCTTACTTGTTGACAAGTTCTATCCTGAAGACTTTTCTGACCAAGAAAAAACTCATTTGAGATTTCAGTTGTAGCATTATGAGCTTGATATGACCAATCATCCAAAGTTAAAGAATATGTCATTGATTGCTGATTTATGTAAGGATTGGTTGAAACTGAAAAATCAACAATTTATCCACTTATTGACAGGTTGATTCGGCTTGTTTTAACTCTTCCTGTTTCGACAGCAACAACTAAACGAGCTTTTTCAGCGATGAAGATTGTTAAAACAAGACTTCGCAATCGGATGGAGAATGATTTTCTTGCAAATTATTTGATTGTCTATATAGAAAAAGAAATTGTTGAAAGATTCACAATTGATATGATAATCGACGATTTCTACTCTATGAAAGAACGACAAGCACAATTAAATTAAATATGTAAGATTAATTTTTTATTATTTTTTACTTTATTTCTAAGTTTTATCAAACATAAATAATGTATAGCTTTAACTAATGTTTCTTATATATTTTCTATATTTATATTTGATAGGTACAAAGACCACCAAAATTAAAATGATGAATACATTATAAAGATGACATTAACTTCGTAGCTTTGATTCAATGTGGTATTACTTTAAACTTCTTATTTTATACAAAGGTCATTATATGTTTGCAGTTACTTCTTTGAATAAAACTAAATTATGTAAATTTTTTTATTGTTACAATTTATGTATAGTAAATTAAAAATAAATATCTTTTTATATTATTTTGGCCCCCCTATTAAATAATCCTACCTTCACCCCTGGGGTTCAACGTAATGAAACTTGTATTTTTAATGACGATGATGAAGTACTGGAATTAGAGATGATCTTTCTATTATGTTTTTGTTTTCTTAGAAGTATTATACTAGAATGATTTCAAATTATTTATGTTTAAAAAATAAGAATATGTTAAAATATTTCTAAGAAAAACCAACCTCTATTTCATTTGAGAAATTGATCATAGATTTTAAAAATAATATTTAAGATGCCATGCTTCTCTCCAAAAAAAAATTGCTACTTGGACTATAAATCCAAATGAGTTAAATAAATTGGTTTTATTTAAATTAAATAATAAAAAAATAAAGTAATAATAGCATATAAACCAAATTTTTATAAAAAAATAATCATAATAATATAAGAAAAGGATTTTTTTTTTTTTAAGGGACAAACAATGTAGTTAATTCCCAATAGTTAAATATTAAAAAATAAAATAAAAAACTTAAAAAAAATTAGATTTTGTTAACTTGAGTTGAAATAATAAATATATAACCCATAATAATTAAAGTTGAATCAACTTGAATTTTCTCATTAAAATTATGATCTAAATCATGAAATTAAAATAATATAAAAAATTATAAAAAAGATTTTAAAAAATTATCAACCAGTATTAATTTTTCAAATCTATAACTTTGTTTATTACACTTGAAATACTCTATTTAAAAAATTATAAAATATAGTTCTTCATCAATTAAAAATTAAAAGATGAATTTGAAAAAATAATTTTAATTATATAAAAGAATTTAAATAAAAAAATAACAATTAAAGGAATAAAAATTAAAATTAAAATACAAAATAAATTTTATATTTAATTAAATAATATAATTTTAAAAGAATCAATTTAGCAAAAAAAACCTAAAAAACAATCTATGTGTCAAGGTTTTTTTTTCCCTTAAAAATACAGTAAAATATTCTTTTATTTTTTTTAACATTATCATATAAAAACAATTCAAAATATCTTTAAAAAATCAAGTTAAAAAATAAATAAATTCAAAAGTGATATGGAACACCGTTACACGTATGCTTCGAATTTCATTCCACCTGAAATAAATCAGTAAATTAGGGATGACGGCACTACCGAATCAGATAGGCCTCATACATGATGGGCCCATCACACCCACGTGACATTTGACCGCCCCCACCGTCGGATCCGCTTCCTGCGCTACTCTTTAAGGCCCTGCCTTTCTCTATCTCTCTCTAAACAAGCTCTAAACTTTCTCTCTCTAAAATCCCGAAAAACAAAACCAAAAAAAGCTCTCATTTTTCTCTCCTTCCCTTCACCTAGAAACCCCCCCAAAAAACAGCCAAAACAAGCAATGCCGATGTCATTGTCCTGCACGTGCATGACCATTGCCAATCCAGCAAAGCCAATGAAGGGCTCGAGTACAGTTTTGTTGATGATAAAGAAACAATCTTGATTGATAGAAAAAAGTTTTTATTTTTCTTTTGGTTTTTTATAATATATATAAAGCATGTCTGAATTGGTGGCACGTACTGGTCGACTCCAACAACGTTACGAGGGCGGTTGTCGACTTGTTGCCGGGTAAATAACAGACCGTTTTCATATCTTCGTCTGAAAATGATTTATATGCGTGAAAGTATGTGTTTTTGATTGACGAGTGAAGTATTGGTGTGTTTAAGTGTCATTTTTGTTAGTGGTGAGAGAATTGGCATTTGGATGGTTGTGACAATGTGTGATTAATGGGTATGTTTTTGACTTTCTGTTGATTAATGGGTCGTATTCTATTTTAATAATCTATAGGTGTTTCATTGGTTTATCTTTTCTTTTCTTGTTTAGTATGTTTTTTTTTGTCAAATTTAATGGGGTTGGTGGCTATAAGGATGTAATCTGTAATGATGACCTAGTTAATTATTTAGTTATATGATTAGTGTGATTTGTTCAATAATGAAAGGTATGCACCATTGACTAATTGCTGATCGAAGATATATGTTCTTTTTGATGGATTAATGGGCAATGTTGATGAGGGATTAATTGAGGATTGAGATAATTTCGAAGCTTTTGTGCTGGGACCCTTTTTATCAGTTGCCTCCCTTTCTTCTTCGAACCCAGGGAAGGTGATTGTAGACTTGGTTATAGAGTTAAAAATTTAAATGGTTAGAATGCATCTCATTATATGTGGAGGCTTAAGTCTTTTGAACCATCTGGTCTCATCTTCAGACATCTTCAGACTGAAGAAATATTCTGACATTGTTTCACTTCATTTCTGGAGGGAATAGGAAGTTTGCACCATCAGTCATGTACTGAATGAATGGATGAGAAGTTTTGTGAGCATCTTGCTGGGTGAAAGATGCTTTCTTCTCTTTAGGGGGTCAACACCCATACCCCTGTCCAGATCCTGAAATGATTCAGCAGGTGATGTGAAATTGTTTGGCTGGTTGAGAGTTCTATTGCAGGTCCTGCTTGCACCGACCTTTTTTGGCATAAGACAATTTGGATTTTGTAGCAAGTATGGTCTTTATCGAATAGATAGGACCAAACAGAGCTAATGTTTACCCATGTGAGCACTAGGAAGCTCATTTGACAGGTTTATCCTTAGTTTTGTCCATCAACAGTCTTGTGGTCAAGATTAGAGGTCTTCTGGTCAAGATTCATTCCAATAGAGTTGGGTCTTCTGGGATCCAAAGTCCAGCGAGCTTCCCACTAAAAAAAATGAAAAGAAAAATGTAGCTTTAGGGATTGAGAAACAACTTGTAAAAAACCAAATAAAACATCACACCGCATATATTGGAAATAATTGTGGAACTACTTGCTGCTGCCATTGTACGGTGCTAAAAGTTACTGTCATATTTGATGTTGAGTTGTTGACTCGTTGTTTTATTGACAGGTGTATTCCATATAGATTTAGAGATTATTGTGAGGATGGAGATGCTGATTCAGTGAAGGTTGTGGAGGTTCTTATGATCAACTCGCCTAGTGGACCAGGTCTCTTGTTTCCAAAGGTATAAAGTTGTCAGATGCTCTTCTGGCATTTTTGATGCACACTATTTGGAACCTAGGAGTGGATAGCTACCTGAATGACCATTTACACCTACATGTATCTCATTGCGGTGGAAGTGCGTTGTTATAGTCACATTTAGCAAAAAGCCTGGTTCCCAGTGAAAGGGGTGATGACTTTACTTATTTAAGCGAGATTGCTTAGAATTGGGCCTTACTAAACATCTGGCTTGTGCATCAAGCATATTTTTGAAACCGGTAATCTTGACCATGTGGCCTTAGAGCTGTGGGGATGCTGGGACTTAGATGAAAAAATAGTGATGGTAATGGTTTTGGAAGTGATTTTGGAGATAATCATGTTTGAATATTTGCAATTACTCTGGCATATTTGTTGAGGTCGATGTGTATGAGCCTGCATGCTTGTATTTCCAGTGAAATGCAAAGTTCAGTTTCCTTTTCACTTTGTTTTGGTTTTGGCTATATAATAGAGAATCCTAGACCTTCAGAATCCATAAATTGTTTGAATCTCAAAACATATGCCTTTAAAGAGCCAGTTAGAGATAGATACCATTTGGTCTAAATGCTGCCTCTTTGAAGTCTTCTTTTATGTGTGGGGCATACAATTCCTATTACGTGTGATTTCAGTTACTTTCAGGAAGAGAAAATACAAGAAGTTAAATTTCTTTTCATTTGTTGTTCATAGGGAGGATGGGAGAATGATGAAACTGCCAAAGAGGCTGCTGTGAGGGAAGCCATTGAAGAAGCAGGAGTTCGAGGTGATCTAATGGTGAGTTTTACATGCATTTTTTGAGATTGTTTTGAATACATTTATTCTTTTCTGCTTTACCTATACCATTAGAACTACAATCTATTAGTTGTGCCCATCTCCTATAGCGAATGCTTTTGAAGAAACATTCTTTTTTGTGCATTGATGTGATTTGCACACCTTCTTTATCATGATAATCATTGCCTTTTTTTTATCTAGTAATTCTGGTGGCTGTTGAAATTATCATAAAATTACACCGATCATCCTATAATTTAGATGTTTTAACATTTACCCACTTTATTTTTGAAAATTAGAGTTTACACCCTAAACTTTGTTGCGCATGTAGCAGTTTACATCTTAAATCATCCTATATTTTAGTCTATTTTGCATTCACCAAAGGATAATGTAAACTGTAATTTTCCAAAACACTGAGGTTAAGTGTAAAGACAATTAGACTATAGGATGATCAGGTGATTTTCCTCTAGCTTCAGAACATATGTGGTAGTGTGAGGCTAAATAGTAAATCCTGCTTCTGAGCTGTTGGCATCTATATAAATTCCAGAGTAAAGAAGCTATTTGGAAATACCATTGCATATATTTATCTGAAATCCCCATAATTTATTTTTGGATATCCTCTGGTGTTAACCTGTTAGCCTTCTATGTTCTTGGCGTGGTTTCCTGCCAGTGATCCCTTGTGGCTGAGACAGGCTCTCCAATTATTATCGTGCTGCATGTTTACACGTCTTGTCATATAGACAATCTAAAAGGGAATCAACTCTAATTATATCTGTGAATTTCAGGATTTCATAGGGGATTATCAGTTTAAGAGTAAAACACTTCAAGATGAGTGTTGCCCAGATGGTTTGTGTAAAGCTGCAATGTATGCTCTATTTGTCAAGGAGGAGCTCGAGTCATGGCCAGAGCAGAGCACACGAACAAGAAGTTGGTTAACTATACCTGAAGCAGTTGACAGTTGCCGGCATAAATGGATGGAAGAGGCTTTGAAGGACTTCTCTAGCTGGCTTGAAGATAAAATGTAAGCTGCAGGAAAGGACCCCGCAATCCCGATTGCTTTCTGTGTGCACAAACAAAAGGTTTAATAGACAGTCACAAGGCTCGGAAGGCAATTTTCTTTTGGTGCATCATGCATCACCCAAGAAACAATAGTAGTAATTTTCAAGATTGCGTAGCTGCCTGTTTTTGTATGTCTTGGAAACTCCTCATTCTACTGACCTTTGATGTATTTTAATTCCGGAAAGTGTCCAAAATGTCAATTGTATATTATAGTTGTTTAGATGTTCATCGCTGTATCACCCCATATAGTTTTCCCAAATCATATCATTTGATATATCAAAACAAAAGGGAAAAAAGGGTACTAGTGTGCATAGAACGTGCCAAGTGCATGGCTGCATTCATTTTCCTCTGTTTTCGATCTCAAGTTTCGGATGTATATTGAACAAGTGGATTGGCTTCAATGTCACTTGCCATATACAATCCTCAGTTTAGCAATTCTGTTCAGACGAATTGGTATAGATTTTCTTTCTTGACAAAGAAACACTAACATGTTGGAGGAATGGTAACCACACTAATCAAACCAGTAGTAGCAGATGGTTAGAATAGAAGAGACATGTATTATTGTCTTTTTGACGCACTTTTATTCAACGCCAGGTGCGTGCGTTTAAAATAAGAAGAGCCTGAAAAGCAGAGCACTAGCAAAAATACGGTTTTCATTTGTACAAAAAGACATACAGATGCCAATGTATATATATACCTCAAAAAAGCTTATCAACCAGCAATGTCATCTATGAGATATAAATGGCCTGCAAATACTTTTCTTGCCAGCTCCATGAAACAGAACTCGACCCGTACGTCCCCATTTTCCATCCGATGCACCACTCCGACGCTTGAATGGTTCACCTCTCCCCGCTGGTGTGTTGGGGTTGAAACAGACGCCGTAACCTTCACCCTGTCTCCAATGTGAAGTTTTCATCCTCTACCAGCTCCACTTCCATGAGTGTGGCCTGACCATCCGAGCCTCGGCTGCTTCACAGAAAGTTTAACCCTAACCTTCTGCCCAATCATGAGTCTTTCAGCTCTTTCAAGACGGGAGGTAGGTCCCGCCTATCTTTCTTGCTCCCCACTAAAACCAACATATAAGCTACACCAGTTATCTCCATCATATCTTTTACCCTGTACGACACCACCACTGCCTGGTCCAACAGATTTCCAGTTACTAACATCTTCTCTCAGTTTCTCCCATTCACCCACTTCAAATATCTGTTCAACCCCAAGATATGCAGGAGGTGCCTTTTCAACAAGGTGGTACCTCCTGTGATGAGCATTCCACAGGTACCTTTTCAACATGCTGCCGAACTTTGAAACAAAGTACATTTTCAACATCTATGTGATGTGCAATTCACAGGTACCTTTTCCATTAAGGCACATTTTCAACATCTATGTGATGAGCAATCCACAGATACCTTTTCCAACATGCTGCCCAGCTTTGAAACAAGTTACCTGTTCAACATCTATGTGATGAGCAATCCACCTTTTACGGAAACAAGAAGTCAGTTCTAGATAACCCATCTCTTGTATGCTATGTGTGTCATTTATATTATTCTCCGAATACCTTTTCAAGTAATTTTTTTTTAACTTGAATTTTTTACACTCAAGCAATATCTTGTACTATTAATCATAAATATTACTTTGTGGTATTAATCATTTATTTAAATGAAAGTTTTTTTAATTTAAAACATGTAATCATAACCTGGTCTAGTCCCCAGACTAGGTTTAAAGCGTACCCAATCACCAACTTCAAATCCCGAAAGCCTTTCTGCACCTCCAGGAGAAACTTTCCATAATCGAAGTCTTCCAGTAACCCTCACCTGCATAGAAATCAAATCAATAGGATTAGCTTTCTATTCATGTGGTAGTTCAATGAACAACAACCATGTTATAAGTTGGCGAGCATTCAAGCTTCAAAATCGGTTTCAAATTCATTTTCCTTTATCTACTCTTCTGGGACTGGGAAGGGGACCAACTTCCAAGGAAGTTTGCCATTGCCATTATAGAATTCAAAAGAACAGAGATATTTGTAGGTAGCAGATTTCATTGGTTTGACTTGTAACCTTCACATTATCACTTTCAATTCGGAGTCGGAGCTTTCTGCAGTTGTTAAATTGCCTGGTCTAGTAGGGTGGAGGGGAATATGCCTGGGAAGTTCTGAAGGGTGCTTCCATTATGCATTCGCGAATGGTTACGAGGTACAAGTATGGATGCTGAAAGATTATTGCGAACCCATGTGGGTGTTCAAGCATGTTAAGCAGCTTTTGATTACAATCTTAGAACACAGAATAGAATAGACGAAACGATGTTTGAAAGCAGTGTACAAGATAGAATGAATGTCTCTATATCCGGAAAAGAAAAACTGCAATCGAAGGGAAGAGCACACAGACAACTTCCAGCTAGAAGGAAATAAATCTGTACAGACATGATTAGAACGCAATAATTCAATATCCTAGCACGGATGTGTGAAGACTAATCAATTAACAGTCTCTCACGAGATGCAGTAGCTTTGGCTACTTCTGGACTGAAAAGGGGGTTCTGAAGAATATCAGGAGTTAGTTCAAGTTTCATACCACATGAAAACGATCGCAGATTTATGCCACATGAACAGATTTACACGATCACAGAATCTAAATTGATTGGTTTCAGCTAGAACCCAACATATTTTGTTCTCTTGAGGCCTAGCCGAACTTCTAAACCTAAGAGCAAGCCCACATATTTAAATATTGAGCCCGGTAAACAGAGCACCAAATGGTTCCCGGTTTAACCCGGAATGAATGTTTAAAAATTATATCGATTATTTTTTAAAATATTTTTTATTTTAAAATATATTAAAATAATATATTTTTAATTATTTAAAAATTATTTTTAATATCAACACATCAAAATAATCTAAAAATATTAAAAATATATTAATTTAAAAAAATTATTTTTTAAAAAAACACTTCCGATACACAATGTCAAATATTATAAAACTTAATTTTAATTTATTTTTTATCAATGATATTTTAATAAAAATTATTTTAATAACATAGTAGTAGTATAACTAGTTTTTTAAATTTAATTTTTAATAATTTCCTTAAACGATTTTCACCGCGTAATCAAGAATTCATCAACCATAAATTATGATAAGGCATGTTCTCTTATAAAAATATCTTTTAAAAGACTTATCATATTTATTATCTTATTAATGATTTATCTCTTATTAATATCATTGAAAGTAAATCTTTTAATTCTTCTTTTCTTTATAAAAAAATAAAACTCATAAGTTATAAATACATTATAAATCCTTCAACATAAAGGTTTACAATTTTTATTTTCTAATGCACATATATTTTAAAAATATTTTTTTATAGAATATTATTATATTTTTTCTTTTAAAAAAAATATTTATTCAAATATCAAAGAGTTCTTATCTCCATAAAAAAGAATTTGATTTAGCTAGAAGACACATTAACTTATCGCATAAAGTATAAGCTATCAATTACTTTAGAGAATGAAAGAAATTATTAAGACTAATTAATTAATTTATTGTCTAACTAGGGAACCATATTCTTAGACTACTTTGAATTTTAGGACTTTATTAATAGCTTGTTCGAAAAACTGACTTAAAAATTATCAATTGTTTTTCTAAAACTTACTCTTAATATTTTCAAGTTATTGAATGGTACACCATCATTGCCTATCTAGGCTAGGACATGGGGCAATTCTATTTGTTATCATAAATAAATTTATTAGTTAAAAGTTTTAACAACTCACTAATTATATACAGCTTCAATCTCTTATTATATTCACAATTTAAGAGCAAAATTAAACATCATCATCTTAACAGGTCTTAATACTCTCAATAATATAGTTCATAGATGATTATAGCATCCAGAAAAAAATACTAGGCACAATGATATATATGAGAGTTACCATCCCTTGCAAAGAGCAAATGCTCCAAAGATAGTCCCCTAGTTGCCATATAAAACGGACACCAGTCACCATAATCTTGTTATACGCCGAGCTATCAAGGCTCGCAAGAGCCAAACAGACAAGGAATCAGGGATAATTGATAAATGATTCACTCCATGCATTAATCGAAATTTGTCGTAATACAAATATATTTATATAGTCATATTTCTAATTTATTCTTGGCCATTCTCAATATTTTAGCTCGGACAACCCAGATATATTTACATCAAAACAAAAGCGACGAGGAAGACGACGTTTAAGGTATATGCTATTTTTTTTTTTCATTTTTAATAACACAAGTTGACAAGCATGCAATCTAATTAAATCCTCTTGGGAAAAATGGACGTGCTATGAACAAAAGTTGAGAGGGATGGTGACAGGGACACCATTGGATGAACTGGACATCCACGTACCTCAACCATTTCCGAGCATCTCATAGCATTTTTAGCATAATTGCAGCTTTTATTATTTATATAAATTTAATTTCTTGACCATATATAAGTTTCTAATGAATATCGAAGATGAAAAGGTTTTATCGATCCGTAATTTGATTTAAGTAAATTCATAAATAAATTCAACTTTAATGTTTATTTTTAATCTCAATAACCATATGAGCCGTGAACTTCTTAATAACGAATTATAATCAATTAATGAGTTCTTTAAAGTCTTAATACTGTGTTAATTGACCATAAATATCTTGGATTGACCCAAGTTAGCTAGAGTACCTTGAATTAGTCTGCGTAAGCAGATAGAATTCTTAATTTCTACATGGGGTCCCGGGGGCTTTTGTAATCGGCAGCCAAGTCTCAGGTCATGATTTCAAAGGGGTAGCTTTTCCATAGTCTCATGAGGCTGCGCACGTGCTTCTATCCATTTCCCCCTCTAGTTACACTGAACGGAAGCCTCACTATCTTATCCTACTCTAGCTGTCACAAACATCCCATAAAATTACGGGCCATCCAAGCAGCTTTACAGAATCCTCCGTTGACCATAGGGTTATGAGCAGCACCACCAGCCAGTTTTACTTATTGTCTTGTGATCCTTTTTCTTGGCTTGTCAGCTTCTTGGAAATCACAGCCATCGGACCATATAATTGTGGGCAAAAATCTTGCATTTAATTAATCACACAGCTTCCTTTCACCTTTCCTTTGGGTCCATCGATCGATCCGTGTCAATTTTTCTTTACCTCCCTTTTCCTTATTTTCCAAGACAAATTAACCACCTTCTGGGAAACTCCGAGATGTGCCAACAGTACCTTGTCTAGAAAACCTTATATAAGATGTTCAGTGCATGACGTGAAATCATCAGAACTTTTATCTACATACAAACACGTAGAATCTCTCTTTTACACCATGGATGTACTTGGGGCTAACATGAAGAGCGGCAAGAGATCACATACCAAGAGAGGTAAAAAGGCTATCAAAGTTGTCTACATATCTAGCCCTATGAAGGTCAAGACTAGTGCCTCAAAGTTTAGGGCTCTTGTTCAGGAACTTACCGGCAAAGACTCCGATGCCGAACGGTTCATGGACATTAATGGTGCTCATGACTCTCTTGAAATCCCTCACCAAACCGCTGAATATGATCGTCATCCATCGGTGTTTCCTTTGACGAACTCGTGTCATGATCAGTCACCATCGACAACAAGCTCCGAGTCTTTTCTTGGGTCACTTGATGGAGAGTTTTTCCCATCCATGGAAGGGAGCTTCATGGGCATGCTTCAGCCAAGCCTTTTCCATGAATCTTTTCAGTTAGATGTGCTCAATTAACTAGTTAATTTACGGCCAGTTGAGCTTACTTTGAATGAGTTCTTTTTGGCGCTAGCTTTTGAGATCCTCGTATGCTCAAATCTCTATGTAAATTCTTTATTAATTAGTACTTGAGATTTAGAAATTCTATATTGCAGTTTATGATCTGAGACTGTCTGTTCTTCTCGTTAGAGCCCCACATCAGTGGGATGCAAACTCCCTTGCTATACAAGTAGTACTGCGCGAGATTCAATTACGAGCAACAAGAAAAAGAAGAAAAATATAGAAGATTATGATGAGCATCCCAGATCAATTATATACTTGGATAGGAGATTAAGTGTTATTGTTGAATGCTTTCATCCTGTTTAACTTACTGGCTAACTCCACTAACCATGCTTTTCAGAGATACATTAATCCTGTTTAATACATTAAGCTTTCTAATTAAGAAGGCCTCAGATGAAATTATGTAGATCTTAAGGGGGCATCTTTCTTACGATTCCACAGGTTTCGTCCTTGATTGGGTAACAAGTTAAAAAATATTTGAATCATAAGTTAACTGGTGTATCATTGAATTAATTTAGGTTAGGTTAATTGTTTTTAATTAATTAAAATAGTACCATTTCATGTTTTTTTTAATGTTAACATTAGATTTGATTTGATTTGATTAACTAAATCATTTAAAATCTTATTAGAATCATCAAATTTTACCCTGTCAATATTTTATTAAATTTAATTGAAAACTAACATAGACCATCCTCCAGATTTTAGGTTTTTCAAATCAGCCCACAGAATTAATTTACAAACCATTACAGAAAACTCACAACCATAACGAAAAACCTTCTTCGAAATCTCTCGATGACATATCATTATTTAGACATGTTTCATCGTTAAGTTTAATGAAAATTGTATAATCAAGACAATACCTTTCCTTTCGTGTCATGACAATCTATATATAATGCAAAAATGTTGTGCATGGTGACATGGTGACTTAACCTTGTAAATCCCCTTTAAATTATTTCGTGGGGGGAATGATTATAGCTTGCTCGTGTCTATAAAAAGCAAAAAGAAATAATACTTTAGACAACAAAATGATTAACCTCGTCCTGTACTTCAATTAGACAGCTACTGTATTCTAAAAATCGCCTCTCCTTGTAAACAAATAAGAAATAAAAGCCACCATTGTCTTTACTTGGATTGTAATTTCTTTTCACAAAAGAAAAACAGCAAAACTATAAGAAAAATATAGTTGTTTGGGTTCAAATCAAAGTTAAAAACCCTAGTTTGCCCATGATCTAGCTTAAGATTCAGATCATGAATTGAAATAGTCAAATTCAAGTTATTCAGATGAATCCAAAACAATTTTATTTTATAAAAAACTATTTTAAAAAGTTAAAACAATATCATTTTTTAAAAATAAAACAAACCAAATTTCACTCAAGCTGTAATTAATTTGCAAGTGACTTCTCAAAACAACCCTATTAGCTTTTAATTAAAATCAACATAAAATATAACTCGAATTAAACAGTAAGCTGATGAATCATTGAGTTAGCAAATGAGCCGCCATTCCTGATAAAAGGATGATAACTTGAATCTACAAGATTATAACTTTTGAATGACTTTGCTTGTATTGCAATTTCTTTTTCTTGGTGCGTGCAGGAGGAAAACCGGAAGGCAGCAAGGACAAGAAGATGAAAATGGAAAATGTCGTCGTCTAGGTTATGGTTGCCCACACGTTGCCTGCCTCTAGAAGATAAACATAGCAAATGTGCCCTGCCAGGTCTCACTCTGGACTCTATAATATTTTTGCAAAGAGGTCCTCCTTTTTTTTTATTCGTTGATGCCGACGGTTGTAAATTTTTAATTTCTTATTTATGAAATATCTTGGTCATCAACGATGGCATCATACCACTACGTATCCCACAATTGATAACACCATTATATTATAGACTTGCATATCCTAAGTGTGTATTTAATAATGTAATTAACAATGACTTTTTAAATATTTTTTATTCTGAATTTATAGGATTATTTTTTTCTGTTTCTTTTTTATATCTTTTTAATTTGATATCTTAATATCAGAATCATTAAAAAGGTTGTCAAATAAATTATTTTTATATATTTTTAATTAATTTTTTAAAAAAAAAACACTTTTAATAACTTTGTTTATTAAAAAAGTATTTCAATTAAAAATTATGATTTAAACTTAAAATTTAGATAGTTATATTAATATCTTATACTTGATTTTATTAATTTAACTACATGGAACTAGGCAGAGAAATTTGAAATTTGAGTCGCTTATTAAGGATGTGTTTGTTTTTACGATAAAATCTATTTAAAAAATATTAAATTAATTTGTTTATATATTTTTTAATGATTTCTATAAAAAATAATTATTTTAATATTTTTCAGTTAAAAAATAATTTTACAAATATATTTTAGAGTTTTGTCTAATATTATGGTAGTAATTATTTTTAAAATAATTTTTTTAAAAATAAATCATAATATTATATTTTTATTTTTTTAAAATTTATTATTTACATTAGCACATCCAAATATTTTAAAAACATCTAAAAAATAAAATAAATAATTTTTTTCAAAAACATTTTTACCTTATAAAAACAACAAACAATATCTTATACCACATTATGGAAAGACACATTAAATAAAATCTTAATATATAATTTATAATATTCTATTACATTAAACTATGCCTGATCATTTATAAACACACAATTATTTTTTATCTTAACCTCCAAGTACCCCGCAAATGATTATTTTTTTTACACAAATGTTATGTCCATGGTGGCTGCTAGTTTCAAAGATGATTGAAAATCGTAGCATACCACTTGCAAATGTCTCCTTCATTGTTAAATTCTGGTGAAAGAAATTACAAAAAAATAAAATTCAAAACCTAATGGCGAGACGTAGTTCATGTGGTTCTAGGTATTAAGACGTGGCATTACTGGAGCCGAGTGGTCATTCAACGAAGCTGTGCGCTGTTGACCTTGTCATCTTTCTGACGTTGGAATCCAACGTCTTCTGTAATCATCCTCTAGCCGGATTAGACCAAAATTCTTTCACTTCCGTCGTTAGCTAATTGTTAACGTTAATCTTCTCTTTTCTCTTTTCTCTTTTCTCTTTTCTCTTTTCTTTTTTCTTTTTTCTCTTTTCTTTTTTTAAACAAAAAAGATTTTGGATTATGCAGCAGGTGGCTTGACCTTCGAGAAATTTTTTACCTTCTCCAAGTTTCTTAATTGACTCTAGTTTTCCTTTCTAAGCCTGATTTCAAGAACATACGAGAAGAGAACTATATATATATATAAAAAAAAAAAAATGGGAGTGTTACCTCGTGTTATTTTAGTAAAAAATCCATTAATATTCTATTGAATAAGTATAATGGTAAGAATAATTAAAAGAAATATAAAGATCTTGTTAAATTCCAGTGAATAAAAATGGTTATGGATGTTACGTTCTAAATATCACTTCCAGAATTATTCATGTAAGCAGGATAGTAACAATAGCGCAGGTGAACATGTAATAATTATTACTAGATTAATTCGCCGTGTATCTGGTTAATTTTTTATTGAAAGTAAAAAATATATTTAATTGTTATTAATATTTACCTTTTTTATAGCGTAAAAAAATTGTATTGTATTGAATTAATTTAATTGACTTTGACTTTGACTTTATTTAATTATGATTACAATCAACAATGAATTTGGTTAATAGCGTACCATATTTTTTTATGCATGGATCACACACAAATATATGTTCTAAATGCAGGAATAGCAAAAGGAAGGTTCCCTTGCTTTTGTCGTGGCTGCTGTTCAAAAAACATGGAAAGTGGAGAATGAGAATAAAGAGAGATGCTTTTGAATGCGGGGATTTTTATGATAGTTATGCTTACGTGCTAAGTTCAAATTAGTTGATGTAATTGTTTTTTTATGATATTTTTATATTAAATAAATATGATAATAACAATGTCTTTTATTATTTTAGAAAAAAATATGATGGCCATGGAGATGAGATGTATTTCTCATATAGAATTTATTAAAAAAATTGATTTATTTTGTGTATTATTTATAATAAAATATTTTTTAATTTTTAGTTCATTTACAAGAAAATACATAGAGAGTAAATAAATATTTTTTTAAATAAAAAGATATTAATAATTCATTAGTTTTATATATGTGCGTATGTAATTGATTTTGAATTATACGTGTGGACATAACACTTTGATTAATGTTTTGAAATTAGATGGTAATTATGAATAGGTTTTTGTTGTATTTATACTAGTATTTTTTTTAAATCTTGTCAAATGAATTTCATATATGATAAAATTATAAATAATTTAATAAAATAATAGAATATATTTTTACATAAAATATTTTTTATTTCATTACATAACAACAGTAGTTAAATATAAAATATTTTAATTAAAAACTATCAATATTAATATATATATTTTTTAATTATTTTATAATCTAAATTTGAAAAGTATTATTAACCAGAATGCATTATATTACTTTTTATTAGATTTTAATTTTAATTATGATTTTAACCAAACATATATTTTTTCAAATCAATATAAATTTAAAATAGTTTTTTTTAAATTACAACTACAATAGTTATTACAATACTAAATATATATTTGTTAGTTAAAAAATAACCAAGATAATATGTAAAAACATAAGTTGATTATGATAAAAAAAATAAAGATGATATTTTTATAATATTATAATAATAATAATATACTAGAATGATTTGGATGAATTAAAGTTAATATATCAAATTTACAATTCATATAATAAAATTAAAATAATTATATATAAATCAATTCAAAATTAATATTTGTCATGAATACAAAGCTCTCATCGAGCAAATCAAAGGAAACTTATCCATTCAGGAAAATCAGATCCATAGTTATTATTATCATGATAAAAACAGAAAGAAAGCCCCGCGGTTCTTCTTCTTCTCCCTGGAGATGTCTATCGAAAAAATTGTCAAACATACTTCTTGTT